TTAATCTAGATTACACCTTAACAGTAAGAATTAAGAACACAATACTATTTATTTATTTTTTGACACCAATTATTTATTATTATTATTAGTTTTTATTGACTTACAGCAATCAGAACATTCATACTGCTGAGCCACAGAGGGTTTGATTATTGTCATTGAAATCAGTTAAAGTTATTACAGAATGTACGCACAAGGCATCGCTAAGATGAAACAGCAATTCATGACCTGAGTACCTATTGTTCTGCTCCCAGTGGCACAGCGTTATGTCTGCGGACTTACAACGCTAGCATCCGGGTTTCGATACCTGTGGTGGCTAGAGCACAGATAACCCATTGTGTAGCTTTGTGCTTAATTACAAACAAAACAAACAAAAACCTATTGTTCTTGTGTTAGCTAATTGCATTTTCACAGTAAGTCTTAAAATATGATAACAAGTGACATACTATTTGTAGCCACTAGTAAATGAAATGGGAATAAATTTTATAAACAAAAGTAGATTTTTGTTTCAGAAAAAAATAGTTTTCATTTGTTCCAACGTTTTCTGGGATATTTTAAACGTCATCATCGACAAAAAAATTCTTTCTACCATCTAACGACATTTAAGTTGATCCTGACAAAATGATAAAACCTGAAGTCCTTCAGTGAGGATATTAGATGAATTTACTTTCATAATTGTCTTAAAGCTTGTAAAATCTACAAATCTGTGTTCACCCTTATAATCACATTTACTTTTACTTACCAGACTTAGAACTATTATGCATATTACAATATTACTAAAGGTTAATATGGTTTAGATAAAATAAGAGTCGTTCAAAATATGCTAAGCGTCCATAGAAACATATGAGTTAATATAAACATTTGTTTAAGTGTAACATTCTGGATGCTATAAACAAAAGCGTTTAGGCTTCGAAGTGTCAATACAAGATAATTTATTGGATGAATAACAAGGAATTTGTTAATAACTGGTCAACAGAGATTGTGCCAAAACAATTTGTAATTAAAAATAAATTACCCGTTTCATATAAATATATGTTACTAAATTATAAAATTAAAATATTTTCCAGAGATTTTGTAAGACACTGGGGAACAAGTCCCCCCAATAATTGAAAACTTTTCTTTCACAGTTTGAAATTATTGTAGTCTTCCGAACCTAAGAGCAAGCAAGCTAAGTAGTTTTCAATACTTTTGTGAATATCGATATATCGATATTATTGGCAAATTATCTTAGAGTCAAATGTCCATTGTTGCTGAAATGGGTGAATTTTGATTCATATTAATACAAATGAAAATATTTTACTTTAAATTTGTATACCAGTCATAAATGAAAATGGTATTGGTTTATATCTCACTTCCTGAAAACAATAATTTTCCTTTTTGAAAGATTTCGACAGTCAATACACTTTAAAAATCTCTGTGTGCGTGTGTTTAGAGCAAAGCCACATTGGGCTATTTGCTATGTCCACCACGGAGAATAGAACCCTGGATTCTGATGTTGTAAGTCAGTATACATACCACTGTAAAATTGTGGATTTATGTTATTTTTTGTGAAACTTTGACTCGCCATACTTCATCATAGTAAATATGATTTTGAAAGAAAATTAATTTTCTTATAGTTTTCAAAATTTTTCAATATGAAGGAGGTTTTGCTTTTTGAAATAATTACAAAAGTATCACTACTTTAAATATCTTTGGGTATAAGTTATTCAGTTTTATGTGTAACCTAAGTGACTGATTAGGTGATTTTTTTAACTCTGTTATAGATTCAGGAAGATTCTCCTGTGTGTTTGTTTCATATTTCTCCGCAGAGATACATATAAAACACTATCTGGGCATAAAAATCACTTAGTTTAAACTAATCATATAGACAACTACCACCGGCAAAGTTTAGGCTAAATTCTTGCCTTACCAAATAGTGGTATTTCACCGTCAACATCAGAGCACACCCAAGGTCCAAAATGTGGAGCGCATTTATGCAGCAACGGATTGCAAACCACAAATCCTCTGATTCACAGTCCGGACTCATTAACCTCTAGGCTACACTTGGTCTATATCAAGGAAGAAATAATAGTCATTTGCGTATAGCCCGTCAAAAATGACGGGGCAAGTACTACCACCCTACCCCATAGTATACCATAACCTCACATATCATCTTTAATAGGTTGTTTAGGCAGAGTATTCATAATGAGTCTAAGTTTCAAATGGACAGCAACTGACTGTTGTAGAAACCTACAAATGTAGAGGACTACGTTTCGAAAGCCTTCCTCTACATTTGTAGGTTTCTACAACAGGCAGTTGCTGTCTCACATATCATAGCTAATTGAAATAAATAAATTTTGCGAAATCAAGCTTGATCAACAAAGAGTGCAGTCGAGGCAGACAAACGGCGGTAAATTCCCTTGTGAATCAATCAAAATTAAGATTATTCATGAAATTAATTCGTGGCGTATTCATAGAATAACTATTGGTAAAAAAAATCAGTTAGATTAACAACTTCTAATATATAGGAAATCCAGTGCGTTTTGGTAACCCTACGTTCCAACAATGGCTTTTATATCATGCTGCTTAGCAAAAAATTTATAACCTAATATTGTTGTTAGTCTATGTACTAAAAGTATAAAATGAAATGTATAGACAACAAAACATGAAAAATATTTTTTTTTATTTCTTAATTTAGAGTCTCCGTTGATTAAAGAGGTTTGTTTTTTTATTTAAAAAGTTGGTGATATAACAGAAAAGATTTAAGTTTAAAATTGAATCATGATAAATTGTATGCACTTGGCTCTAGGCTAGGTGATCCCACACTATGTCTTTACTTTAGGATTATTATACCAACACTCAC